TATGGTAAATCTTTATCAGCTGTGCGGTACAATCAGCTAGATGGAGGTTCCATCAGAGGGGAAGACATGCAAAGATAGAAAGGGATAAAAAAAAAAAAAAATTAAAGTAGGGCTTCCGCTCTTCAAGATGTATTCATCTCTACTTCATTGTCATTTTCCAGAGGGAAGTAAAGCTAGGTAATTTATTATTAATTACAATTGGAATTGTTTTCATGGTGTGCTGCTGTTGTATGCTGGAGTCAGCCCTGACTCATAGCAACCCCTCCTTGTGTTTCCGAGGCAGTATCACTACGGAAGTAGATTGCCCAACCGTCCTTCCAAGGAGTGGTTGGTGGGTTTGAACCTTCAGCCTTCTGGTTACCAGTTAAGTGCCTTAGGCACTATGCTACCTGAGCTCCTTTTCATGGTGTGGTGTAGCAGTTATCTAATTAGCCCAGTATAAAAAAGGTCTGGCTTGAGCCAGGTGTTAATAGTGTTACTATTTTTTGAAGTTTAGTATGGTATAGGGTAAGCATAGATTCTATTGTCAATTGCCTTGGGTCAAATCCATGCTCTGCCTCTATCTAGCTTAATACCTTATGTAACCTCAACTCCTCTACTTTCTCATCTGTAAAATGGGCACAAAGACTATCTACCTTGCAAAAGTGTTTGGTGAATTACATGTTGTTATGTACTGTCGAGTCAGACCCCACTCATGGTGACCCCTCCTTGGGTTTCCGAGGCAGTATCACTACAGAAGTAGATTTGCCCCATTTTCCTTCCGAGGGTGAATTACATAATATACATATATCATCTCTGCACAGTGACTGGCACATAGGAAATCCTCAATAAATAGTACCTATTATTAATTCAAAGCTAATAATAGCATCTCATGTTAAGTCCTTGTTCTACTTACTACCTGTGTGATCTTGGGCAAGTTACCAACCCTTGAGCTTCCTTTTTGTCCCCTGGAAAGGCAGGGTGGTTGAGTGCAATCAAGCCTGATTTAGTGTTTTAGATAACAGTAGATGCCACTCATTCAATATTCAATACCATAGCCTTGGTTCTTGAGAAAAGGCACAGAATTTTAACCAAACCATTGTACTTATTATGTGCCAGAGACTGTACTAAGCATTTTACAAGTATTTACTTTTACCATCCCCATTCTACAGATAAGGAATCTGAGGCAGAGGTTAAGTGACTTGGCCAGTCACTTGGGCAGTATGTGGCGCTGTCAGATTCAAACCACCATGGAACTGCGCATCAACTGCTGGAAGTAGTGTTCTTTTAACAGTCATAGATAACAATTGTTCTGCTTCAGTTACACCTAGACATCAGGAATAATGTTTATTTTCTGCCTAGCTTCACCTTGAGAATTTGAACTGAAAATTTTCTATCAGTTTATTGAGCACCTCTCCATAAGTATGTGTGAAAAGCCCTGGTGGCACAGTAGTTAAGAACTTGGCTGCTAACTGAAAAGTTGGTAGTTTGAACCCACCAGCCACTCTGCAGATGTAGCAGTTGGCTGCTGTACAAATTTACAGCCTTGGAAACACAAGGCAGTTGCCCCTAGAGGGTCTTCAGAATCAACCTGAGGGCAACAGGGATGGTGTGGTAATACCAAGGTGAGAAAAGCCCTGAGACCTAGACAGATGCTGGTTTCTGGCTCATTTGGCAAGCAGCACAAATTCGTGCAGGCCCCATTACTCCATGGTTGTGGATTTTAGGCAGTTTTGTTCCTAGGTTCCATGTTAAGATGGGATTACTACCCAGTTCACAGTTAAAAAAGGACAGGTAAGCACTTGTCTTAATACTTGTTCAGGCTGTATCCTGGAATCTCACACTGCTACAGTACTAAGGTTATAAATGTCATATACAATTGGCTCCCATCCCATTGTGACCTAGTATATTTAAAGCTATTCCCATCTGGAGAGTTCATAGAGCAGACCAAACTCATCCTTAAATGGGTTCATGGCTGCTTCAGCCCACAATTCACTCAGTCCCTTCATTACTCACTCTACCTTCTAGATGGATCCCTGGTAGTCCCCATCCTCCAGCCTTTTCTCTACAGTGCTGGCAGCCAGTGACAGGGGCCTGTAAGACTCCCATTATGACTCAACCTTCTCATCACTCAGGTACAGAATTAAGTTCATTCTGACACAGGTTTCCTGTTTAAGCATGTTGCTGTGATACAGGCAGTGAGGGTTTACTCTAAGTAGCTGTACTGAATTTGCTGCACTTTTCCGGAGCTGCTCTATACATACACCCGGTACCCAGAAGCCCTGGTGGCACCATGAGTAAGTGCTCCAAGCTCTGCCTGTCTTCAAATGGCCACCCTTGTGTCCCTCTGGCACCCAACAAGTCATAATGGTCAAGAATTTAGCTGCTGAAAGTTGATGGCTTGAGTCCATCAACTGCTCCTTGGGTAAAGATGTGACAAACCGCTTCAATAAGGATTTATAGTGTTGGATCCTACATGGCAGTTCTATTATGTCACATAGAAAAATGGCAATGGGTTTACGTAGTTCTTATTTTAGATTAGGACAGAGTATGGACTTGTTACATAATCCACAGTAACAGGGGCAATTTTCATTTAATTCTTTAAGTACTCCAACAGATATAAAACCAAGTACAATTTATAAGGGAACAGGAATATTTAACAAGCACAGCAGCAACCAGATACTTAGAGGCTTATGAACTATTCAAACCACCAAGTCTTAATAATTGGAAATATTTTTGTACCATTCACAGGTACATTTGTTCTGCTAGCATACATCATTCACTACCCATTTTTTTAAAAAAAGAAAGAACACACACCAATGTGCAAATTTTTATTTTTATAAACAACGGTTCTAAGGGTTTACCTGGAAATTTACATTTCTAACCTACTTCCAGATGATCTATGGGCAGTCTATGACTGGAATGGCAAACTATTTTCTGTTCTGACCTATGATTTACTAAAAAGGCCAATTCATTTCATGTCCTTCAAGGAGCCCTGGTGACACAGCAGTTAAAGTGCTTGGCTGCCAAACCAAAAGATTGGCAGTTTGAGGCCACCAGGTTAAAGATGTGGCAACATGATTCTATAAAGATTTACAGGCTCGGAAACCCTATCGAGCAGAGTTCTACTGTCCTATATGTCCTATAAGGTTGCTATGAATCAGAATGGGGTTTTTGTGCTCTTAGGAAAATATCTGCAAAAATGCCAATTCCTCCCAAAGAGCCAAGTGAGGCTTTTCTTTCCTGAAATAAAAACAGATAAAAATACAGGTTTAGACTCTTACTAAGTCTTCAGTTTTAAATATTAGTATATATCAGACATGTTTCCTGCATGGTTTGTCTCCTCAGTCATTGTCCATAGGACTCTGAGAAGCTGTAGGAATATGCAGGCGCAGACTCAAAGCCCAGCATTATCTCCAACGTTGTGGAAAGGGACTATACATCATGGGGCAGAGCCCTATGCTCCCCTAGGCCACCTGGACAGAGCCCGGGGAGAGTGACCTCCCGGGAGTATCCACGTTGGAATGCCTGGCTAGTCATTGCAACCAGAGTAATTTACAAAGGCAATGCTGCTAGAAAATATCATCCTTTAAAACATTTCCAAGGGCTTTCACAATTTAGGGCTAGGAAATGTTTGAACCAGTATAAAACAACTGCCAAGTCATTCCCACATGGCTTGCCTACTTACTTTCTTCATTTCTAAAGCATCAATACCTCTCCCTCTCAGTGACGAGAATGCAAAGATGTGTAAATTTTAGCACTCTTCATAGAATGTTAAGCACACAACAAATTATCAACATGCTTACAAACATGATGAAAATACAGCACCCAGCTTATATCCGATGTATTAAACTGAGAAGCAGTAACTGGTGTTAAGACTACTGGGTTCAGAATTATTCAAATTATTTTATAATCCAGACCCATCAATAACTGCTCAATGCATTTTGAATCACACGACTCACACGGACTACAGGTAAGAATGTGGCTTATTAACAGCCTTCTCTGGTGGCTAGAAACTTACGTTTCCCGGTTAGAAATTACTGAAACACCTTAACACAGCTAACACGATTAAGTACTAGTCAAAAGCTGTATTCCAGAGCATATTTACTCACCTTAATCCGAGTCATTTGGAATTCTGAGAATTCTGCAAAACACAAGTAGAAAAGAAATCTAACCCACCAATAGAACAGAACCTCGACTCAGGTGGGGTGTATCGGAGGGCTGTTTCCTGCATGGTTTGTCTCCTCAGTCATTGTCCATAGGACTCTGAGAAGCTGTAGGAATATGCAGGCGCAGACTCAATGCCCGGCATTATCTCCAACGTTGTGGAAAGGGACTGTACATCACGGGGCAGAGCCCTATGCTCCCCTAGGCCACCTGGACAGAGCCCGGGGAGAGTGACCTCCCGGGAGTATCCACGTTGGAAGTTACTGTTATTGTCTTACAGATCACTCTATTAGGCAATCAAGGGGCTCCAGTGGCACAGTGCCTAATACATCTGACTGCTAACCAGAAGATGGGCGGTTCAAACGCAGCGGCCACTCCGTGAATGAAGAATGACTGGTTAGTCTACTTGAGTAAAGATTTACCGCCTCGGAAACCCAAAGGGGGTCGCTATCATTCGCAATCGACGCTGCGGTAGTGACTCTTAGAAACCGAATAGGCCATTAACACGCGGTGGAAGGAAACAGCAACAGCTGGAAAGGCAGCAATTTGTCTCATAAATACTGTATCTCAGTGGAGGCTGTATAATCAGTTACCCCAAGTCACAAAAATCCAAGTGGGAAAATTAATGACAGCACCTAGGAGTGTCTCAAAAGCACGATAGTTCTTAAACACGGAAGAGGGTCAGTAATTAAGGCGTCTTACACGCAACTCTATTACGGACGTGACTCCGTATCAGGCAAAAAAAAACCCAAAAAAACTAACGGCCTAAGTAGGCAATGCAGCCCTACAAACCGAAGGGTGGCAATGCCCTATACCCCTCGGTAAAGGTCCAGGCCTTGAGGTTCCGCAGGCCCTTACTGCCGCACGCGGTCCACATCAAGCACAGTCCGGTTGTACCTATCAATGTCGTCAGCACAGTAGCTGCTAAAGGCGATCCACAAAGGAAAGGGTAGTTGCTGGGCAAGAGGATAGACTTACAGTTGAGAGGATGCCCGAGCAAAAACACTTACCAAAGGAAATGCCACTCAGCGATCCCGTTGTCCCGAAAGGCCGCGGTGAGCCACAAAACCCTTATTTATACCGTCTGAAGCGCGCGGAAGTAAATGGCTATTGCGCCTGCGCAGCAACATGCGCAGTTAGGCAATCAGAAACTCGCTAAGGATGTTGGGAATCTACTTCAGGTTAAGCTCCGTCCCTACTTTGTCCAGAGGGGTTTTAGGGACGCCAGAGTTTTCGCGCGTTAACGTATGAAAGAAAATTAGTTACAAAAAGTGAGTTTTGTGACTATGTCGCCAGACACCGTAGCATTCAGGAGATCTACTTCTCTACGGTCAGTTCCTAATCTGGTGGATATACCGTTAGATAAACAGGCCAAAAAAAATTGGTAACAGTAAGTATGTTGTTGTTATGTGCCGTGGAGTCGTCCCTGACTCATAGCGACCCCTCCTTGGGTTTCCGAGGCAGTATCACTACGGAAGTAGGATTGCCCAACCTTCCTTCTGAGGAGTGGCTGGTGGGTTTGAACCGCCAGTCGTCTGGTTAGCAGGCAAGTGTCTTAGCCACTATGCTACCAGAGCTCCCAACAGTAAGTATGCGAGGTAGAAAAAGTCAGTTGAAGAAAAGCAAACAGTTTCGAAAGGAATTGAATGTGCCCTGTCACGTGTAAAATAAACCGCTGGTAAGCTAGGCGGATAAGACGGAAGTGCCCCTAGACGAATTGGCTAAAATAAAAAAAACCCTCCTAATGTAAAGAAGTAGGTACATCAAGAATTCTTTAAGATACATGTGAAATGTTAACAAATGTGTTATGGTATTAGACGAATAAATGTTAGGTAAATTGACATGAAGCCATTATCACAGCTGGACTAAACTGAGTAGAAACTAACATTTATGGAGTTCCCTCTACGTATTAAGGAGTCTTGTGGCACAAACGGTTGAGCTCGGTTACCAACGGAAAGGTTGACGTTTGGAACCCACCCAGTGCCTCTGCAGGAGAAAACCTGGAGATCTGCTTCCTGAAAGATTGTTGTTATGTGCTGTGGAATCGGCCCCGACTCATAGCAACCCCTCCTTGGGTTTCCAAGGCAGTATCACTATGGAAGTAGGATTGCACAACCTTCCGAGGAGTGGCTGGTGGGTTTGAACCGCCAACCTTCTGGTTAGCAGTCAAGTGCTTTAGCCACTATGGTACCAGAGCTCCTTCCTTAAAGATTACAACCCAGAAAACCCTATGGGACAGTTGTACTCTGTCACATAGAGTTGCTATGAGTTAAAAACGACTGGGGCACCTAGCACCAAGACCAATAAACTAAGACTTTGTCCCAGTGCTTTACATACTTGTTTACTCTTAGCCATTCAAAGACATTGGATTATTATCTAGATTTTAAGATGAGAAAAAGGCTCAGAGCAGCAAATCTTAGTGGGCCCTTTTGACTCTGAGACTCTTGGGAGTCCATGAGAAAAACTATTTTCGTAATAATATGTAAATAAACTTTTATTTATTTATTTTGCCTTTTTCAGTTGACATTTGCACTGGTGGTAATGGTGGGTAAAACTGCTGATACTTTAGAATGAATCAAGGCTGGGCCACCAAACTAGTAGTCTAGTATTCTTCATTATGATAATTCCTAGCTTAAAAAAGTCATTAAAAATGATTAATTTTATTAAATTTTGACCCATGTACCCATCTGTGACAAAATGGGAAATACACATAAAGCACTTTTGTTGAACCATGGTTGTCTCCAGGAAAAGTACTTAAGCAATTATTTGATTGCAAACTGAAATAGTCACATTTTCCCAGAGAATACAATTTTTATTGGACAGAACAGTTGATGTCTTTTCCAACTACCTATCTGTATGAGAATGAATTTTCTACATACACTTAAACTAAAACAACATGTAACTATAGTTCAAAGGTTCCTACTGAAGGACCGAGCTGGCTACTTTAAACTTGGATAACACACCCTGAAACCTTAAAGATAAATTTCATTTGCAGACCCCACACCCTCCCCCACCTTGTCAAAAACAACCCCACTTCCTGGAAAATGGAAATCTTGTAAAAACCCAGTGTGCACCAGAAGTCCCTATAAAAGGGAGCAACACTTCCTCAAGGGGCAGCTCTACTCTGCAACTGGCATTGTTCACGTTGCTCCTAGAGTCAGTCGTCCTTCACGGGGTTTTCTTCAATAAAGCCTGCTCTGCTCTCTGTCGAGGTAGTGGTTATTTTCTCCTCTTCTTACTTTCACTTTAGCTTCTGTATTTCCACACTTTCTTAACACCTACTAAATTGCTGTTCTTTTTCCCTGCAGCTTTAAGGAGCCCATCCTCTAATGCACGGGAATTAGAGGTGCTGTGAGGCCTTCATCAGTAACGTGCTTCGGTGGGATTGTGAAAGGTGCTGAACCATTGCCACAAGGTATACGAGCAGCTGGCCAAATACCTTCAACTGAGAAACATCATAGAGCATATTCAGGAAGCTAAGCACACAGAGTTGTATATGCAGGTGGATTTGTCTTTGTTGACAGTGCATCGCTCTGGGATAGTTGTTTGGCTGGTAGGCCTGTTTGTTGTGGCTGAGAGTTAAACCACAGGAGTGAGCCCAATTCCAGGCCCAAAGGGTGAGTAGGGCCCATAGTCTTGGGGGCTTCACCAGTCTCTATCCGACCAGCAATCCTGGTCTTTTTTATGTTTTTGAATTTTGTTCCACATTTTTCCCCCCACTCTATCCAGGATCTCTAATTATGATCCATTTTGAGTGATTGGCAGTGGTAGCTAGGCACCATCCATTTCTTCTGGTCTGAGGTTCCCATGGTCCATTAGGTCTTTGGATAATTGTTTCCATACACCTTTGACTGTCTTCACTATTAGCTCCAGTCAAGAACAGACCAATAGTTGCATCTGGGTATGTTGTTTTTTTTTTTCACCCCTGGAGCTGACAGTGCCAAAACCTTTCAAATTCATTGTTTGTAAGAGCTGTCTCCTCACAGAGCTCAGTGACAGCCTTCCCAAGCGTTCCATGAATGTCAAGGCCCATATTCACATGTTGCTTGAGGGACTTAAAGACCCTGTAGAATCTCCCAGAGAGTCTCACCACTGACTTCTCCTGTTCCCTTCCCTAGACATTAAAGAGCCTATATGCCAAAAAATCAAACAAAGAAAAACAAACCCACAGATTGCATGCAGAAGCAGATGAGAAATCCAGCTGTCTTCTATTAAGCCAGACATTAAAGAGATTTGCAAAAAAGACTAAATATTGCCACTCTTCTTACTAATTTTCAGAAAATATTTTTTTCCATAAAAAATAAGGTAACATATATGGAGTTATTGTTAAATGCATTAATGAGATAATAAATTTCTGTTTAATTTTGGTTCATTAAATATCAATAAATATAACACATAGAAACAAAAGTTTGTTAGGGTCCTCAATAATGTTTAAGATTGTAAAAGCGTTCCAAGAAAAAATTTGAGAACTGGTAGTTGAGAGGAAGGAAGACAAGTAATTCTGCTGTTGCTGTGGCCACGCTATCAGCATTCAGTTGTCTTTCAATTACTCATTCCACATTTACTTAGTGGATATTACATATTGTATGTCAGCCATTGCTAGACACTGGGGATTCTGAGATGAAGCAAATACTTTTTCTGTCCTTGAGAGCTCATCCCATGGGAGAAATACCATGTCAGCAAATTATACTATGTGCTGAGTGCTATAGGGTATGAATAAAGTGTTCTCAAAGCCCAGAGGACAGAGTGACTGAACAGTCAGCCAAAGGCTGAGGGGACTTTACTGGAGACTTAAAATTTGAGCTGAGACTTGTTATCTTGATGAGGAACATTAAAGGGCAAAGCTTAAAGCTGAAGAGTAGGTAGGAGCTGAGTTACAAGAGATCTGATAGGCTAGGCCAAGGAGTTTGGATTTTATCCTATAGGTTACTGGGGGTCAGTAAGTTTTATACTAAAAGATTGCAGTGGTCATTTTTGCACTTTGGAAAGATAGCTCTAGTAGTAATATTAGGATCTCTGGTAGAATAGTGGCTAAAGCACTTGACTGCTAACCAGAAGGCTGGCGGTTCAAACCCACCAGCCACTCCTCGGAAGGAAGGTTGGGCAAT